TCTCACGTTGTTGCGATGAAACGCAGCTCCTTTACAATTAACAAGCTCTGGACGTTTCTGGATGATGGATTCATTCAAACTGTCCAATTGCTGACAGTACACATTCGAATTAATTGTTTGGTTCCTTGGTAGGAGCTTTAAAATCCCACCACACTGACAGCATAACCTTCCTCTGATGAATGTCTGCTTTCGATGTCATTTGAGGCGAATCATCACGTCAGAACCAAGACCATTTGTGCACCACATTATTATAAACAACCCACTTCTCATCACCAGTTATCAGTTGCTTCAAAAGAGGATCATTTTCCTCACATTTAATGTGCATATTGCAGATGTTTATACACGCCATCAAATGAACTTCTTTGAGTTCATGCAGAACCCAAATATCAAGCTTGCTTATGTATGCCAGCTTCTTCAGATGGTCATGAATGCTTGAATGATGTATGTTCAATGTTTCTGCAATCTCGTGTCTTGTAACGTGGGTTTGACTCGATCAATGCCTTTAATTTGTCGTCATCAACCTCGGTGGGCCTCCCTGACCGAGGAGCATCGTTGAGATCAAAATCACCAGCACAGAATTTCATGAACCATCATTGGCACTGACGTTCTTATAGAGCATTGTCACCATAAACTTTATGCAACTTTTCACAAGCTTGACGCGCGTTCTTCCCTTTATGGAAGTAAAACACTAAAATATGGCAAAAATGCACAGTTTGGTCTTCCATTTTCAACTTGTTGTAAAATCTCCAAAACTCAACCAAATCAGTCAATTTTTTTTAGAACGAAGCTAGAACTGTCAGCTGTCAAATGACCTAGTAATAACATAGATGCGAATGACTCTAGTACTTCCAAAAATGAACTAGTGCCATCTGTCGCAAACATGCATCATGACTTTTCCAACAACCCAGTAGGTCTGGGGATGGATGGTGGTGATGGTTGCACAACAATGGGAATATATTTAATGCCATTGAATTGTACTTAAAAATGGTGAAAATGAGGGGCTAGCCTAGTGGCTCAGTTGCTTAAGAGTTGGCTTAAGAGCATGAGTTCTGAGCAACAGGGCTGCCGGTTCGATTTCCAAGTGGGCCAGTGACGCTGTGCCCGAGTTGAGCTGCCGTTGAGCTGCCAACAGGTGGCAGGATGGCTCAGCTGGTGAGAGCAAATGCTCCTAACAAGAAGACTGCCTGTTCAATGGTGGGCTACGCCCTTCTGCAACTAAGACTGAACTCGGCACCTTGAGCTGAGGTGCCACCCAGATGGCTCAGTGGATAGAGCATGCTCTCTTAACAACAAGGCTGCTGGTTCGACTCCCGCATGGGATGGTGGCTATGCCCACCTGCAACTAAGATTATAACACTGCACCTTGAGCTTAGAAGCCATGAGCTGCCAATGGGAAGCCAGATGGCGACTGGCGCCCTCCACAACTAAGATTGAAGAACAACAACTTGGCTGGTCCTCCTCCCCAATTCCCTAACACTGTTTCCCTCCCCCAGTTCCCTCCCCCCCAAAAAGAAGAAAAAAATGGTTAAAATGATAAATTTTATGTATATTTTACCACAATAAAAAAAGAAAATAAATTAAAATTTTAGTAGCACTAGTCACATTTCAGTGGCTCAATATCAACACATGGCTAGTGGTCACCGTACTGGAAAGCACAGGTATACACCGTTTCCACCACTGTAGAAAGTTCTATTGGTCAGTGCTGCCTAGAGAACCACACAGGCCCCCTTCTCTCTTCCCTGCCTGCTAATTCTTTCCTGGCCAGCCCGGCTGAGGAAGAAAGCAATACTCTCCCACAAACGTTCATGGCACCTCATAATCTGCACAGCCCTTGCCCACCCACTGTCCCCTTCACAGTAACCTGGTGAGGAAACCAAGGACACTTGGTGAGGTCACACAACAGCCCAGCAGCAGGGAGCACTGGAACCCAGGGCTTCTGGCCCCAAGGGCAGAATTTTTGACACCTACCATCACTCCCTCGCCCCAAGCTGCTTCCAGACAGAGGCAGCCAGGCCTTCCCTTCCTGGGCCTCCGGGCCGCCCCCCCACATATACTCACATGGCTGCCAGAGGGATTGACAGTGTTCCNAAACCTTTTTATTTGGAGAAACTCAAAACCCATAGAATAGTTGCAAGAATAGCATAATGAATGCCCATATATGCTTTACAGATGTGCCAACTGTTTCAGAAATGACTTTTAAAAAATGATTGTCCCCAGTACTGGGGAGCTGAGGTGAAATGGGCCCTGTCGATGGAAGGGTAAAAATGTAAAACCATCTTCTGAGAAGCAATCTGGCCACATGCCCTCGACCCAGTATTTACACCCTTGTAACACATCCAAAAGAAAAATTTAAATATAGTAAAATATTTATGAAAAAATATGTTTCTTTGCAGCATTGTATGTCATATCAGGAAGAAACTTCCCAAATGCCTGCAGCATGGAGGGTTAGTTAACCAGTAAATCTACTCAATGGAATATTTTGTAACTAATAAAAAATGTCTACAGGAAAATATTGATAGAATGGTTAGTGAAAAAAGGTTATATTTGTACAGTGAGATCACTTGTATATAAAAGGCAGAAAACAACAAAAAACTGTACAAATGAACCTGGGAGAAAATACATCAAAATAGTAAGTAGTTATCTCTAGAAAATGTGACTAGAAAGGTTTCTTTTGTTTATTTTTTTCCTTTTTGTACATTTCTGCATTTTCTGATTTGTCTTTGAAGAGTTATACGACTTTTATTATGAAAGCTATGTCCTTTAAATGTTTTATTACTTTTATTATTTAAAGTCATGTATATCGGCTGTAAAAACAATTCATAATATAGGGAAATGTACAAAGTTGAAAATAAATGTTTCCTAACCTGATTCTAATCCTCTGCCATTTTCAGAGTTAATAGATTAGTGAACACCCTTCCACACTTTCTTCTAAACAGAAATATACTTCCTTAAAAGCAAAAATGGGGTTACAAACACTCCAGATCTAACTGTTCATGTTGTTTTTCACTTAGTCTATCTGAGATTCCTTTCCATGACACGTCAATCAACCTTATTGCATTTTACAGCAGCACCGTCTCATGGTGATGCTTTATCATTCACCTCACCATCCCTCAAGGGAGGTTTAAATTGTTTCTACTTGTTTACTATTACAGTGGTGAGATGAATATTTTTGTATTTTGTGGACATTAATATATATGCATATATATATATATGAATAACTGTATTAAACTATATATGTAAATATATATGTAAAGTCAAGTTAAAAATATACATCGTATTATTTTGTGATCCAAAGTTGCTCGGGCCAGCCAAGTGGCTCAGTTGGTTAAGAACTCGCTCAACAGTGCGAGCTCTGAGCAATAGCGGTTCGATGCCTGGCCCGAGCTGAGCTGCCGCTGAGCTGCCAACTGGTGGCAGGATGGCTCAGCTGAAAAAAAAAACAAAAAACAAAGTTACTTTACTGTTTTAAAAGTTGGTGTGTAATATCTGAAGCAAATATGGCAAAATGTAAATATCTGTTGAATTTGGATGTAGATGCATGGATTTCTGTTATAGTCTTTTCTGCTGTTTTCTACAGATTTTAAATCTTTCAATATTAAACATTTAAAGCAATTAAAAGAAGGGGTGGAAAATTACAAGCGTTTACTCACTCTGAAAACAGCAAAGCCTCATCAAATGGAAACTAGTGCTGAGCCTGGGTTTGTTTAATAAGACCCCATGATGCCTGGAGATCTGCAAACACTTTGAAATGGGGGTGGGGGCCCGCTACCTGTCCTGAGTAGTCACTCTGGGCTCAGCACTGTTCTAAGTGCTTTACCCGTATCATTTAATTTTAATAAGAAACGAGGTGGCAAACTAAGTAAACCTGATGACATGCATATTATAAATGCATGTTCAAATTACAAAATAAAACAAACACACTGGAAACGCTGAAGTTGGCTAAATAGAAAAAAAACAAATTATAAAAAATTCTCAGGAGGGCCTACTCCCATTCTAACATGCAGGCAAGGCAAATGCATTACCTCTGACAGACACTTAATCGAATGATGAAATTAAGGCAGAGAAAGCTGTGAATTGGCTAAAAGCATTAGCTGGATTGCCCAAGCCAGAAGCTTGGCAGCCTCACCTTCCATTTCCATCTCTCCCATATGCAGATA